GGCTGAGGGTACTACTGAGCCCTAAAAAGACAACGAGGGGCTAACCTAACCCAGCCTGTGATAATGTCATTGGGCCAGTCCAAACGGCCAGGCTGGCGGGGGGTGCGGACTTTACTAATGACTATAATGTGGGAAAGTCAGCCCCTGCCTCTTTAAGACTCATGTGCCCGCCACATGGCTCCATAAGGATGTAATGTATTCCAGGTGCAGCGGATAAAAAAAAAAAAAAAAAAAAGTCATGCTGGATATGTACACACAAACATGAATTCACTCTCTCACACACATGCATGTATACAAAGACAACAGAGGCATAGGTAGGAGATCTCACAACCTTTGCACACACCAAAATTATTTTATTAAAGTGTTTAGCGGAGTTTGGTGTGCTGGAGGTCCTGACGACCTGGATCACCAACCATGACCAGCTTCACACGTCGACATGCACACACAACCAGACAAACACAGATACACACATTATGCTAGTGTCTGTCAGATACATTTAAGGCCATCCTCTCATGCTAAAATGTTGATTTACTTCACCCTGTGTTCTAAGTTGTTTTTTCTCACCACGTGGTTATTTTCCACTGCTATGTAAAGTAACATATACAGGAAACATAAAGCATTTCAAGCCAAGCTCCTGTGGATCAGTCTGTAACTGTCGGAGTACTCGTATAAACTCAATTTGCTAATTAGCAAGTTAAACGTGATCCTCTTCTATGGACGTCCTGCTGTTCCTGGTGCCTTCATTTCAAGACTTGACCTGAAGCAGGTCTATTGATGACACAGGGGGAAATTATAAAGGTGTGTGTTTCTTACAGTGTATAAATGCCCAGTAAAGGAGATAATTAAAGGCTTAACATTTAATACTCTGCTGTGATGTTTGTGGTTTCCTCATGTTTACATTATCAATACAGCCTACTTCCTTTTCATGTCAGCCTGTGTGGATTCAAAGGCTTGCATTGTGCTACTGCACTGATGTTTAAGTGTCCTCACCTGCACAAACCACAAGCCACCAATATGCCTGGTTGTCTGTGAGGACTGTAATGAACATACTTGGTCAGCCACTAACTTCCAAACAAAGTACCTGTGCTTACAGCCGCTCAGCAGGAACTCACCTGCATGGGGTTTTCCTGAAGCAAGCCACATTTTCACCAATTAGTGTACTCCACTTTCCCAAATTAAGTCTCCCTAATGCTGCAAATCCATTGTAATAAATGGATTGTAATTTCAGAACACATGATTTTGATTACAAACGCTATTGTGAAAAGCAGAAGCATGGGAATAAAAACACTTATATCACTGCTAGTTTGATGTTATTTATGTTAGATGCACATTTGTATTTTAATGTATTGTTTAATATCTAGTAATAATTGTGTGTTTAGATCCAGTCCACGGACTGCAGATGCAAATCAGCTGGTGCAATAGGCAATATTTCAGCAGTAATTCTGCTCAAACTTTACCTTTGTCAGTAAAACAACTGGGGTTCTTGCATACAGTACCAGTGAGGGTTATTAGGGCAACATTTGTTTTTAGTCACAGACAGGTTTGACTTCCAGTGGGGAGGAGGGACTTCATGCTACATCATCAAATTGGCCTCCTCACTTGTCATTTAAGAGAAATATTACTGACAGATACATTTCTATTAAAAATACATGCTGCACAAATCTGCCTTTTTCTAAGCTTTGAAGAAAAGCAGTGTGTGTGGGGGGGGGGTGTCCATATCAAATAGGAACAGCAGCACTTCAAATCTGTATCTCTTAACAGTCTCACAAGACACAGAAAACGGTTCCCTGCAGCAACTCGAGTTCCTCCTTTTTTCTCCTTTTGTTTGGCCCTGCACAGTGTTTTCTCTGGACAGCAAACCCTAACATTTGGACACTGATCCAAAACCATGGATCCAGACAAGCTGTGCTACAGGCAGAGAAGAAAAGAGAACGAGAGGAAGACTGGGGGAGCGAGAGGAGGAGGAGGAGGAGGAGGAGGAGGAGGAGAAGTGATGATGTGGAGCTTGTGAAACTAGAATATAGTCAGAGTTAGGAGGATTTTTAGAAAAGGAGAGAGAGGTAAAGAGGATAAGTAGTATGCCATTGTGTGTGCGTGTGTGTCTCAGTGAGTTATAGAAAAGGCAGGGACACACTTTAACTTTCTAAGTGTTTTTGATTATAAGAAGGCATTTTAAAGAGTAATTCATTAGTTTTGCTTTCAAATGTATTTGAAATCACTTGAAAAGCAGCAATTTGCCTCATTTTAATTGCCAATTTGAGACAGTTCACAATGATCATAGATTACATCTTTTAATCATAAACTATAATGCTTGGCTAACAATGAATTGAATCAATGTCATTAAGAGTCTTAATGAACATAAATTAAGCTAACTCTTCTCGTCTCTCATGTACTGCTTCCTTTGATGGCGCTTTTATCTTCATTCTCTTCATTATCTCGCTGAATACTGAATACTAAATGTGTCAGTGGGTCTTGACTTTGAAATATGCTTCCTCATCATCAACATCCTCTCCATCCCAGCTCCTCCTTGCAGCACGGGGGTCTCAATGTATTGGCTCCTCCTGCTTAGACCAAGTGGAGCTCCCATTGAAGGTCTTGGGGAAACACCTTGCTTCCTAACATTTCCTAGACCCTAAAGAAACTGCACTTTTGATCTTAACTTCTTACCACATAATCATACATGTTTTTATATGCACACATCACCATCAGTGCTGCATTAATACTTTTTTAAAGCTCCCCATCTTCATAGATCCATGTCCTTTATTAGTCCTTCCACATCATGTTTTCTCTAGAGTTCTATGTATGAGCTTGAACTGATAATATACAGATAGATAAATATAGGGTAAATACAAAAACCTAATATAAAGGCAGTTATTCTAATAATACATGTCTATATCTTCCTCTGTACAGTATACCTACTTACATATCCATAGATACACATAGGTACAGTGAAAGGGGCAGCTGTAGATTGAAAATGTAAGATAATGTTCTGTTATCTAGACTACACATTGTACTTCTTCTACATTAGCTTTAGTGACCCCATTTGCTGTTAATGTCATGCATATTCACAACTGAACTTACCATTATTGGGAAGTACTACTTCTTCACATGTGCTAATTCTTGTTGGCTCTGGTTTTTGCAAATGAATATCATTTTAATTTAATTGATTGTAAATGTCGAAAGTTCCCATCAAAATATGTATCTATTATATCAACTAAGTTTCTGAAATAAAGATTAGAAAAATAAAAGTGACTGTACTGTGTCATCAAACTTGAAATGTATCTTTTTTGGGGGGGGCAGGGGGTCCTTTGGAAATAAAAGTTCTGTTTAATTTAAAATAGTTTTTCAACACAATTAGTTGATTTTGCCCACCATTGCTGGGATCTTGGACTTTAACGCTGGCTGGTTTTCCTGCTGCAGATAGGAGATGTCTTCCACCCATAGCTTCAGCTTCGTACTGCAGCTGCCCTCCTCCCTCTGGCTTAGCGGGTGGAAAAAGTGACACAGCAGCAGACTAAAATGCAAGAGGTAACGCTGCTCCCAGACAGTGTGATCAAATGGAGACAAAAAAGAACTCAGAACTTGACTGACTTTTATTGACTGATTTATTGAGAATCCACTGTTTACTATTTTAATGAACACAATCAAAGACATGAGAGAAAGTGACTCTGTTCACTGTGTAGACCGTGAACAACGGCACAGCATGTGTGGGTACAAACAACAACATATGGAACACGTTCAACTGTGGAGACAGACCTATGGTATTCCCAACCCCCCAACACACACACACACACACACACACACACACACACACAGTCTCAGAAAGTCTTAGACAGTCTCTGCTCTGAAACAATGAGTTTGCAGTTTATATCATTATATTGTGATATATTTATATTATTATTATTATATACAATCATGTTAGCACCACAGTCTTCATTGATATCCAATAACCAATCTTTTCATGTCTATTAATATTGTAGAAAATTTGGAATTCAAATTAGGCAGGCAGAAATTAATTATACTTCTATAACTAGTATATATATAACTAACAAATATTTTAAGTATCAAAGACATTTAAAGACCAAAGTTAAAAGGCCTGCAAAAATGAATACCTGGTATACAGATGTAAAAACTGTAAAGACCAAGATTAACTTAATTTATCCCCAATGAGGAAAATATTTTTTCACTTGAAAAAGGACACTTTGGCAGTGTCCAGGAGTTGAACTGGGTCCTATCCAGCCACCAGTCCACACTTCATACTGTGGTCTGTGCTGGACTGAGCTACTGTCACCCTTAAATTGACAATTGATCCAAAAGAAAGAAGTGAAACATGCTGTACCATTTCTCCACCATGTACCAAATTGACAAGATAAAAATCTAGAATCAGACAACAGGGTCTCAGCTGTAACAGTAGTTCTCACTCTGTCCCCCGGCCACATCATTTTACCACAAACCTGGAGAAGTTTAAAAGGCTGATTGCCCTCAGCAAGCATCCACCAGGTGTTTTATGTGGCAGGTGGAGGTTTGATTGGTAGCAGGTGGCAGACAGTCCAAGTGCTCATTTAAGCCAATAACCCGGTAGAGACAGGGCACAGTCCATTTTAGTGGTTTACTGCACTAACAAATCCCTGCAGAGAGTAAATCCTTGCTAGAGAAGGGCATTACAGTGCACTGAGTTGGTCTCAGTTCAGTTGTACTGAGCTTCCTTCTATAAGGTTGCAAATGGGTACACATGTAGCAAGTAATTATTATGATTGAATTAACATTTTCAACTAATCTCAACCTTACCCCCAAGGTTTGTGATTTTTATTTCATTTTTGTAATATGACAAGACAGGAAACAAAAGAAGTTTGAAAATATACAGAGAATGTGCACTTCTATGTCCTAGAACATCAATGAAAAAAAATCCTAACAACTTGTATAAACTCTCAATACATTGTCAGTCACTTTACAATGTAAAACACCTACCCTATATCTCTGTAGAGCTTCTGAGTAAGAAAAAAAAAGGAATCATATGTGTGAATAGGAAATTGTCTTTGCCATATCAAGTCAAAAGGTGATAATATTTCAGTGTTGTGTTTACAGCTTGTTTTCTGCTGCTCTTAAGTGGCCAAAAGCCCATTATGACAGTATTTCCTCTAAGCTATTGGTGTCCAATGGTGTCATGTTTTATTACAACTAAAGACTATACTATGTTAATTCATGAATTATTACATCTTCAAATAAAGAAAGAGGAACCCTAAAATCTGTTGATGTGCTTTATAGTTTAATATGACTACTTTCTTAATTACTACTTACACTATTCCCCACTCTAACCCCGACCCCAATTCCTGGTCAATTTAAGGGGTTGGGGTTACTGTTAGGAATAGTCCTCGCCTACTTTGTAATTCCATTCAAATTGTTGAGGATTACATGATAAAAAATGAACCCTAAGCTCAAGAAGTTTAGCCATTTTACAATTTCAAGTCTTTTGGCCCACTAGAGCTTTGTACATGAAATAGGTAAAAACCTTCTTCCTACATCAGAAGCCTAGTCTGGCTTTACAAGGTCCATCTGTTTGTAGACCATTTTCTTCCTTCCCATCTGTGAAATCATTCAAGTGCGGAGGAGGTCTGGAGGAGTCATTTTACTTCCTTGTTGTCACACTGACTGCGGCCGTAAAGTGAAAGAGGCCAGGCGCTGGAGTTTTTTCCAGAGGAAAACTGAATTCAAGATGATCATTTTCAACTTAAACACCATAGAAATAAAATGTAATCTAAGTAACTCCTCAGCCTCAGGGAGGACCCAGTGGGGTGCAGACTTTCACTTTTGCACTTTCTAATCTGTTTTCATTTGAGACAACATATTGAATTGTATTGGCTTGTTCCACTTCTGTTGAAATTAGGTGGACTGTGATATCTTGTGATTTAGCTGGCACTGATGTGAGTTTACTTCAAATAGTTTTGTTACAGCTGATGGTGTAAAAGAAACTAAGCTCACACTTGGCAGGACCGGTAGACCAGAGAAAGTAAGAAATAATGGCGAATATAAAAAAGGAGGTTTCTTCCACAAATGCCTCCTCTTTCTTCACAGGACATGGAAGGGTTGAGGTCAGACGTGAAGGAGGTGGCATATGTGGGCCTTTAAGTGATGCGTGGAGGGCTTTTTTTCTTCCTCAACTTTGACCTCACCCCTATAACTCTTGTTTGCCACACAGGATTCTCACTGCAGGGACCCTACCATCTTTGTGTGTTGTATCTTGAGGAAGACCGAAACAGGAATGGAAAGGGTGGGAGAACAAGAGAAAAGACAGATTTGAGCTTTTTGTCTGACATTTATTCTACCAGTATGTGCAGAAAGAACTGTTCAGAGGCAGCTGAAGTCATGGAAGCAATATTATTGTGGTATGTGGACCTGGGACTGAAGGGAAACAACAGTTTCCATTCTGGAAAAAAGAACTGTAAGATTCCTCCCTGAAAGCTCGGCCAGTCCATCATACCAAAATAAAACTGCAGGAACCAGAGCAATTTGAAAGAGGTGGAGTTATAGAGGGGAAGTGATGGGAGGAGAGAAATAAGTTGAGGTCTCAAATTTCCATTTTCTGTTAATATTAATGTCACAGTTTGTCCTGTTCACATCTTTTCCAGGGCGTTATTGTTTTTTCTTTGAGGGCATAAGTACGTAATTAGCTCCATAACAACAACCCTCGCATTGTCTGTTCTAACTCTTAAAGACTGAAAATGCAAAATGTTAGTTTTGTGATGCATCCAGTAGTATTACACATTTTTCATCTAGGTAAATCATTGTGTTTTTAGTTACTTAGTTTCTTTATCAAACTCTCAAAGTGTACCACAGAGGTTAGTAGATGGAACGCATTGTCTCTCCTTTCTCTGGTGTGTCATCCAGGGCTCTGAGTGCATTTTCCCAGATGTGTAATGATATACTGCTGTGTTGAACTTGCCCCTAACCAGCCAGAGAGAGAGAGAGAGAGACCAGAAAGAGGGGGGGGAGAGAGAGCGAGAGAGCGAGAGAGAGAGAGAGAGAGCTAGAGACTCCAGACAGCTGAACACAGTTAAATGTGTTCCTCATGTGTGCTGTAATATGGAAAAGATTTCAGTGCTCTCTCCTCTGCTCACCATTACTGAGCTCAGCTTAACCCTTCAACAGCCAAAACACTGTTAGTGACTTCCACTAAACAGAACTAAGGTTGCTTAGCAAAGTGTGCAAGTCCCGTATCTTCCATCATAGCTGTGTAAACTGTCCCTCAAACATGTGCTTAAACAGACAACAGTTTGCAAACTCCATCCATTAAAAAAATATGTAATTGTAAATGTAAAAAGTGTTTCATTTCCTCAAAAAAATTATTTCATGTAAGAACTGATACTATAAGCGACTGCTGCAGAAAAACCAAAAGTGTAGCGTTACACATCCATGCAAGTTATTTGCTTGTTAACCAAGCATGGACCAAGAAGATGAAGGTCTTCTATGCTTCACACAACTAAGAAGAGTCTGATAGAGTGTAAAAACTGAGCCATTTCCTGGGTTTACTGAAAATTATTCACTGCTGACCATTAAAACTAGAATCCTATCGGCAAACAGTTTTAACTTGGCATATTTCAACAAGAGTCTACAGCCGTGCTAGAGCTGCATGCTAATATCAATTCAATTCAGTTTTCAATTCAGTTTTATTTGTATAGCGCCAATTCATAACAAAAGTTATCATAGGACACTTTTCAAATAGAGCAGGTCTAGATGGTACTCCTTATAAAATTATGCTAACCGTATCACAATAACAATGCTAACACCATCACCATTTTTATCATCTTAGTTTAGCATGTTAGATAACATATGCTAATTAAAAACACAGCACAGCCGATGGGAATATCATAGTTTTGCAGGTATTGGACAAGTTGAGCCTTTGACCTGATAATGGTGCTAGATGGATAGCTCAGGGATCTAAAGTTGTTAATTCATCCGGCAGGGGCCATGAATATTTGTACCAAATATCACAGCAATCCACTAGAGCTCAGAGTCAGAGGATCGCAAAATTCATTAGGCTTCATCCTCTTAGCACCATGATGTCAGCACAAAATCCATCCACAAAAAGTTGAGATATTTCAGTCTGGACCAAACTGGTGGACCGACTGACAGACTGACTGGCCTTCCCTAGAGCCGTGCGTGGCAAGTGTGGCTAAGAAGTGCCTCTGCATGGTTTAAATTGTACAGTATAAAGTCTTGCCAACCATATCACCAGAAGTTGAGTCAGAGGTAGAGTTTTAGAGGCACTCCTTTTAAATAAATTTAGTATGATTCTCTGCTTTACTAAATGGTAATGTTTGGAATAAGACTGGTTTACTACCATTCAGTTGCTGAGTGTTTTATTTATGGTAAAGATAACATCTAGGAGGATCTGCTGAGACAGAATATAATATTCATAGGTATGTTTTCATTAGTGTATAATCACCTCAACATAGGAATTGCTGTGTTTTTATTCCCCTTGAACGAGTCGGTTTTATTTACAGATGCCGCAGAACCTGTTCTACAGTGGCCCAGAATGGACATATCAAACACTAGACAGGGCTGTTTCTCATTCCCATGTTGTCAAATACAGATGTGAGCGGTGTTCAGTTAGTTGCAATCTGCAACTTCATCGCTAGATGCCACTAAATCCTACACACTGGTCTTTTAAAATGGATTCAACTATGAAATGCTATGAAAATACAAACATCTTAAACATGGTGGATGAAGATAATCAACAGCTGAATCTACCTGTCAATGTTATCTTAAATGGATTTTGAGAGTAACAAAATGTATGATTTTGTAAAATGTTCCTTATTGAGAACAATATCTTTGGCGTTAATCTTAGGAGAATCCATGGAGAATATGACCACCAAAACCTTGCCTGAACTCTGTCAAAAGATCACCTCCACTCGTTTTGCATATTTATGCAGCCTTTAAAAGAAAAAAAACATTAAATGAAAAAATACGTATATGGACAATCTCTTGCTTTTGCTTTTTTTTCCTCTCTCAAACCGCTGCCCAGCTCTATCTAGCAATTAACTGCCTGCCGTGGACTCTGGTGACATTGTGTGGGGATATTTCTGTCACGTTTATTATGCGTTTGCTGACCAGACTGTGAGTCATGTGGACACACAAGCAAATCTAACCATGTGTTAGTTCCAGCCAAGGGAGGTTCCCTACTTTGATTTTCTCCCTTTTGCCTTCTACTTTTTTGCAATTCTCACGTTCACTTCAGCTCTTTCATTGACCAAAAGCTTTTTGGAGGAATTGACTTCACTTCAATTTTGATATGAAGTACAATACAAGAAAGACGCAAAAAGCCATATTCACTTGAGAAAAAACTAATTTTCTTTGTGTTGTGTGAAGCTCCAGTGAAAGAACTATTCTCGCTGACTCAACTTCTCCACCATGCTCGCTTGTGTTTCCTGACACATATTTATACTCTCCTATACCCCTACCCCTCACTCCCTCCCTGCACCCATCCCCAAACTGACATTAGACCAACTCTTCAATAACCCCGCCTCCCTGCAGCTAAAGTCTAAACGTTTGAGAAATATATTCCAGTGGAAACAGCCTGCAGATGTGGTGACCTGAGGGAGGGAAGACAGACGGGGGAGGAAGAGAGACAAAGACAAAGAGATGATGGTGAAGGCAGAGGGGGAGACACTGAAATGATATCAGAAATAAGGGGTAGGAGGGAAAACAGGAAAGGCAAGGGAAGGAAGGGAACGAGTGAGAAAAGGCGTTGCATACACATAGACACATCACAAACTTGGCCAGGGTGTTGTATAATTTGAAGCACTTAAAGTAAATGAGTGCTCCTTAAAAAGCATGGCCTGTCTTTTACTAGCTCTTCCCCAGTTCCTTCCTTCCTGGGTGCTACAGAGTCAGTCAGCCAGTGGCCTCAGCATGCTGATATGCGCTCGGGCCTGTCGAGCCAACAGGAGAGTTGAATTCTTTTTGATCGTGCTTACAGACTCGAGCAAGTGCCAGCAGCTTCCAGGTTCTCCTCTAAGGAGCGGAGAAGAAAGTTGCTGCAGAAGATTCATTTTTGCTAACTGACTGTTGTACTTTCTGTAATCTGTTGCTCTCCTGACTGATGCAAAAGCCTTAAACTACACTGACGTGTCATTACAAGTCATTACAACCTCCTGCTGTTGTGCATCTGGACGTTATCAAACCAGAACTTTGTGGAAAACTTACATTCTACTAGATTTCCCAAAGTTTTTTTTTTTTGATGCACACGACATCTAGAATATTTCTCTTTCTTATTAATTTGCACTTAAAGTGAAATTATGTAACTTTTGAAAGAATTGACCCAATCTGCAGCCTTACATAGTCCGGTAAAACCAGTAGCTAATGGCTAATGTTAGCCACTGTCTCAACACTGATTTTGGTTTGTTTCGATTAACTAAGGACGGTAAGATTCACTGATTCCCATTGGTGCACTGTTATAAAAGTCCAAGATGCAATTGTCCTGATATATAAAAAAATAACCTCTATTAATTAATAATGACCTCTGTTTTATGTTTTGTTTGAGCCCTCTTCTCGAGCTGAGCCCAAGAAATAACATCAAACTACCTGTATCTATAGTCATTATAGCATCATATTATTTGGTATTGCATTATATTGTGTGAAATTGCATTGTGTTGAATCAAATCATGTCAAATGACACTGTAATAGGGGTGAATCATATGCATTGGTAGTTGCTTTATATGTATCTTTAATGTATCAGATTGTTGGCAATGCATCCAGATCTTATATAAACACAGAGAGAAACTGAACCAAAATACTCAGGGACAAGGGATATCATTCATTCAACAAAGAGTTCCTTGCTATCTGTAGCAAGAAAATGTTATATATATATATATATATATATACACATCAGCCATAACATTATGACCACTGACTGGCAGTAAACATTTCTGCAGTGGTCAGTACCTATCAAAAGGGGTCTAAGGAAGGAAAAGCAGTGAACTGGAGACAAGGTCAAGGGCAGCTAAGGCTCATTGATGTACATGGGGAGTGAAGACTGGCCCGTGTGGTCCAATCCAACAGACGAGCCACTGTAGTTCAAACTGCTGAAAAAGTTCATGCTGGTTCTGATAGAAAGGTGTCAGAACACACAGTGCATCACAGTTTGTTTTGTATGGGGCTGCATTATGACCATCAGGGTGTCCAGGGGGTCATAATGTTATAGCTGATCGGTTTATATATATATGCAGCAAAGAGCCACAGGAATCGAACCCAACCTACCACATAGACCACTGTTCAGCAAAAGTTACATAGGCTTTAAAATGTTCGCTTATTTTAGTTTTAGTGGGGGAGTAGGACTAATTCAGTCTCATTACAAAGCTACCACCAGCAGCTGGTTAGCTTAGCTTTGCAATGGGAAGCTAGATTTGCTCTGTTCAAGGGTACAAAACCACTCGTAAAACTGAAATGTGTCATTTTTACACTTCAGTTGTTGTACAGGTTAAACAAACATAAGATATGACAGAGGCTAGCTGGGGCGCCCGGTTATCTCAGCTGGTGGACCTGGCGCCCCATGTACCGGGGCTGAGTCCTCGCTGCAGTGGCCCAGGGTTCGAATCTGACCTGCGGCCCTTTGCTGCGTGTCATCCCCTCTCTCTCTCTCTGCCCTCCCTTCCTGTCTGTCTTCAGCTGACACTAAAGCCCCAAAAAAAAGAAAATGAACAGAGGCTAGTTGTCATTCTGCTTCCAATCTTTATGCGAAGCTAACCAGCTGCTGTCATGGTATTTCATAATCAGGCTGAGGTGAAACTCAATATAGGCTTGCCAAGAGGGCCACTAGAAATCAATATTTGGTGGCACTTGACTGCTATTTTGTGCCAGGATGTAAGAAATTCAGCTACTGCTGTTTCCCGTTCTACAACCCTACACTCCACCACTTAAAAATGTAATTTTTTATCTTAGACAAGCTGAGTTTCATAGTTTCTAGTTTTTCTGACAGTATTCCGGTGTGGAAAGTTTGTTTCAAGCTTTTAGAGAAGAAAAGAGAAAAACTGCCTGGAATATAGGCTGTAATTTGAAAACCTCAACCGCCCCTGCATGTCTGCTGATGTGTGTGTGTGTGTGTGTGTGTGTGTGTGTGTGTGTGTGTGTGTGTGTGTGTGTGTGTGTGTGTGTGTGTGTGTGTGTGTGTGTGTGGACAGAGGGACAGAGAGAGAGAGAGAAAGAGAGAGAGAGAGAGAGTGCATGCAGTGCCCTGTTTAATTAGTGCGTCTATGTGTGTTTGAGTGTCACAGAGGGCAGTGTGTCTGAACCTTTTTATCCATCTATCTCTGCTTCCTTCTACCATTTTTTGATCTTTTCTCATCTCTGTCTTCTATCGTTGCTTCATACAGTGGAAGGATTAAAGGTGTGTGTGTGTGTGTGTGTGTGTGTGTGTGTGTGTGTGTGTGTGTGTGTGCGTCCTCCTCCACCTTTTTAATCACTAACTCTCTCTTTCTCTCTGCACTATCACTAAACAGACAGCTGCTGGTGTCTGAGTGTGTGGGCCACATACCGTGTCTTCAAACGTATGTTTGAAAATTCAGAGGTAGATGGATATCATCATTCAGAATCACGATGTCCCCCTTATAAATGCTTTGAAACCCCCTGCACTTCACACCAAAATGATAAGGAAATGTCTTTCTGGTAACTCTAAATACAAAGAGCACAGTATTTTAATTCTTAAAGTCGTGGTACAATGTGTGCACACAGCTGACAAAATTAATGAAAATAATTGAATGAAGAAATAATGAATACAAATGCTTCCATGCAGGTGAGGGGCATTTTTCTAGTATGGTTTGGGTAAGAGTCAGTACAAAGTTATTCTGGTGCTGATCCTGTTTCACCATGTGATGTTCCTGTCATAAATCATTTCTACCCTGATGTGGGAAGTCTCGTCCAAGGTGATAATGTCTCCGTCCACAGGGATCACTGAATGGTTTAATGAGTATGAAATTGGTGTGAATCATATACTATGGTCTTCATGTACCCCACATTTCAACCTAATTGGACACCCATGCACAAAACACAAAAGTAGGAAATGTCCTTTCATATTGGAGATTCAGAGACTTGAAGTTATACCAAGAAGTATGAAAACTGATATAGAGTCGATAATGTAGATCATGGAGCATTAGGCTGTGGTGACGTTTTGTTTGAATAAATATGAACTTCTGAATACTACTAACACGAGCCTCTCAGTGGTTGATGAGCTTTTGCTTCTTTTTATTTTGCCGTATTGAAACACTGTGTTGTTATTTCTTTAATTTCTGTCACAGTCATGATGTTTTTTTGAATTTGGCATTTGTGTTTTTTTCAAACATTCAAATGTAACAGCTTTCATAGAGTGTGACCCCCCGGCATTCTCAAGTAAAATATTATGAATATTGTGGTCAGATATAGTTGAAATTTCACTGTGGTATAGTATGATGAAACATTAATATTCAGTAAATGTTTTCCATTCCTTGCATGCAGAAAGTTGAAGTGTTACCATCTAAGATCTGTGATTCATTGCCACAATATGACATGATAGCATCAGACTTACTCTGGTACTCTGCTATCAACAGTTATAAATTTCCATCTAAGCATTCAGCAGTTGATCAAATCTTTCTTCCTAATCTCGCTGCTTGTGTGCTCTTTTTCTTACCAGCTGGCTGACAGGTGGATAGCCACGCCTGACATGAGAAGATCCACTCCACCCATAATCCTTAGCGCTTTCTTCTGCATTAGGATGGAAATATGAGACTCAGTGACTGAGGCCAGTGAGGAAACAACGTAGACAGCCAATCGGAACGCAGCACATCTGGAGGAATCTGTCTGCAGGCCCAGCTGGCAGTGCTATGGGACACAGCGAAGTAGAGGAGCAAGATGTTAGATTCAAAATGGCTGAAGGATTTAAAAAGGAAGTGTACAGGTCAAAGGATGAATAAATATAATCCGGCTATAATTCACATTGTTGTCTTTTGCTTTACTGTTTGTCTGTGAAAACTGTTTATTTCTTGTATAAAATCATGGACAAATAACTTTAAAGGCAAGGATTTCTCTGCTCACTATGTTTGACTTTGACCAAAGGTGGAATTGTGATTTTATCTGGCACTGCTGCCACATCCATTTGTAACTGTTTCTAGGGAGTTCAGTGTAATATGTCTGAGTGGTTTAAGAATTTGTGCTTGACTCCATCAGCATCCACACTGCAACAACATTCACTGCTAACCTTTCATCACAAATCTGCGTCTGGAGTTAACCCAAACTAGCTGTCTCCTTCCAGTGATAAACTTCTTGACCCACATGACCCCCTTCTTCAGTAAAAGAGAGTTGGTCTACTCAAAAGCCAAATAAAAGATTTCCAAATAGTTACTGTGAAATATATTATGAAATAAATAGCAGCAGAGGCTTTATTTTAAACTCAAGTGAAATTGGTGTTATTTTTAAAAAAAACAAACAGTTTTAGTGAGTAGTAGCTCATGTCCTTTTACTTTTAGAATTGAATTCATATTCTTTGTAGTCTTTTCATAAATGTATTTTAAAATCATGTTTTTGAATGTCCACAAGGACCAACTATTTACTTGGATTAAACATAATTGACTGTTTCATGTGGAATGTGGTTGAATCAAGAGAAAAAAGTCTGATGATGTGGAGCTTTGCAGCCATCTTTGATTTCCTACGCCGCCTGTCTGGTCTCTCCAGCTACTTCAAGGCTTCAGCTCTTCAACAAACATGAGAATGTAACTCTGCAGTGAGTGGGAGCTGTGCCATCTTTAAAACACATTTCATCTCACTCGCCCCTCCTCTTTCTTTTTTTTCCTCTGTCTTTCTATCTTTCTGGTTTGACTCAGAAGAGTTGAGGTGAAGTTGTCAGGAGTGTCCAACAATTACTCTTTTTTTCTGGCACAGAGGGGGAGGAAAAGGGAACAGGATTGTCCATGGGCAGGAGGGAAAGAAGAGCTGTGTAGTTATTTGAGATCAATAGAACAAGGATGTAACCTCTTATGTTGTCTCTATACTTTTTTAGAGTAAATTAGATAGTACTAGTACATGTACTTGATTTTATTAGTACACGTACTTGTACTATGTTGCAGAATAGAGCTTCAGAATACATACTAGATGGTAAGGTCCTTCAGAAACCAGCTTTTTGTCATGATCTGCATCACAGATAAAATCCCATGAGTGTCCATGCTCGCAGAGGAGGATCAAAGTGGAGATCCTTTTCTTTTCAACTCTTTTACACATCTAGTGTTTATGGGGGCAAATCCATGGTTAGAATTTAAATGTGGAAAAGGTAATAAGGTGTGTATATGTGTTTAGTGTTTTCCTTTCTGGATAAAGAGTGCAACAATTATCCCTCATGAGGTGCAGAATTAGATAGGGGATGTTATTTACACCACTGGTTGAACTTCACCAAATCACAAACTGATTTTATTCATTTATTCCATGATAACTATCAACCTTCTCCAATTCACAGGATAGGTTCACACAGTCCATCTTGAAACAATGGTCAGGTGTCCATAAGGATACGGCTGTAATCATTCCTCTTGCCAACAATGAGCTTTACTTCATGAAAATCATACATTTGTTCTATTTTTCAATAGATGCTTTCTGTTAAGCATGTAAAAACCGTGAAACACTGAGTGCATCACAGCATATGTCTAAACTTATGTATAGGAGTATATTTTAACTTTGCTTTACTCACTGGAATGAACAGTGGGTGTGTAATATAAGGTAGTATGGGGGGCATGCTGAGTTTTGTTGGAGTGGTAGTAGAGTAGATGACATGTCTGGTCATGTGGGCAGGTGAGAGTTGCTCAGGGAGAGAAAGAGAGAGAAAGAGAGAGGTTGAAACTAGATCTCCCCTTCACACCTGTCTTTTGTCAGTCTAAAGCTGAAGTGTATGTGAATCACTACATTCCACTGATTTTGCTGAGTAAAGACTTCAGTAAATTTTATTTTAATAAAGAGAGTCTAAAGAGTTTAGACTGTTACAGAAAGTTGGAGTTGTAAGAGCAGACACATGGTTTTATTTTAATACACAGACACTTGATTAAGAAATGCTTGGTGCATGTGGACTGCACTTGTATGGAAAAATAAAATGACCCAAAAGCTGCTTGACTGCATGAGGAATGTTGGTGGTAGCCATATACTACATAAAGTAGCAAAGTTGTCACTAGAATGATTCCAAAACAAGAGAAGAATACGGCTGAGATGTGAGAAGTTTTTCCTACAAAAAAATAAAAGATCCGTGCGTAAAAACGACACACTAAAAGTCAATTGCAGTCACATTCCAATCGTTCAACAACGATACAGTAGATAACTCTACACTCTCTCTAAAAAGTTACTTTTCCCCCATAAAGTCCAAAGAAATTGGAAACACTCGGTGCCAATTAATGCCCCCCGAAACGACCACATTTTACGCACAAATCTAAACTGCGCGCAAGGCTGAATGCCCGGCACCCGTATCTCAGCACTGACACTCCGGATTCACTGCAACCCGTAAAAGAGAGGAAAAAAAGAAAAGAGAGTAGGCCTTCTTCTGCCTTTTAAACCTCGACGCTGTCCACGTCCTCAAAAAGAATGGATCTAATTAAAACGTTGCACTCGTCATCATCGCCAAAGCTTTGCCAAACGGTTTCTGGTGGAGAGGAGGCTGGGAGATGCAGCACCACATGACTGAGTGTGAGCTGGAGAGGGATGGGAGTCAGATTGGGTTTCTCTTCTCCCATTGGCCGGTGGGCTGACTTTTGACACGCAGACCAGGGACCCTCCTGCCGTATAAATAGGCCTGTTAGAACTTTATTATTCTAGCATCACGGCAGCAGGTTTGTGCTAAGTTTGGAGTTACTCGTGTCACCACAACTGTATGCCTGCCTGAAGGTGGTTTAAAAACAAGGGCTCAGCAGCACAAGGAGTCTGCATGTCTATTTAGACATGCTCAGCTTTGTGGATACCCGGATTCTGTTGCTGCTTGCAGTAACTTCATACCTAGCATCATGCCAATGTAAGTTTGAATATCTGCTCTTTTTTTCTGTGATGGATATTTTTTTCGGGTCCCACTGCTTGAGGATCTTGCGCTTTGGCTTTTGTTTGGGACTTACATCAAGGTCAACCTGAAGACAGCTCAAAGCACTGCTGAATAAATCTCAACGGATTGAGCTCATGCAGAGGATTCTTCACTTTTCTTTTTTTTTCCAAGGATACAAATTATAATGATTTGATTAGTTTCCGAGTAGGAGAAGTTGCACTCCTGAAAAAAAAAAAGTTTTCTCGCTTTGAAAGAGACCTCTAAAATAGTCGCCCTAGCGTCTTTTTCAAAACTTTTAATGCATGTGGAGTTACTAAAATAAGTTAAATGTGAATTTTCTTTCAGACATGAGATGAAAAGTGGGGCGTTGTACATATTGTTCCATCCAGATGTCCAAGGGATGAAGCTTTATAATAGGAGCTGCAATGTCTCCCCCTGGTGGCCATGGGTGCAAACATATACTTGGCGCCTATTAGATTTTCTCCTCTTAGAAGATACAAATCTATGTATCAGAGCTATAGTATAGTATAGTGAGACTAAATGTTAACATATTATAGTTTAACATTTTGTTAAACCAAACGGCCTCGAGAGTAACTTTCTTTCCAGTTACAGTTTACTGCGTCCTTTATCATTATTCAGATCACAAAACGATTTGAAGGTTATATTACAAGATGTGCATTGAAGCTGAAGCTTTCGTGGCAACTTTTTCTGTATTATAGCACGTTGAAGAGAGATAAATAGTCTCACATCACTTTGAATCTCGAACTGCGCCACCCTGTGGTCCGAAATGGACATCAGGCGTTGAGAGTTCACAGGGAGGTCCCAGCTGTGCCAAAACCAGCCATGACCAGCTGGTCCATATTCAGACAGGGCAGCCGTCCACCTGCAACAAGGTGTGGACGAGAGATACAAAACATCAGCCACGAATTAAGGATCCAGTCATCAGCTAATCAAAATCCAAACAATTTTACAAATAATACAACCTAATTGAGCTAAAATTCACCCTTTTATAAGACAAAATAAGAAAAATGCATCTTTTAATAACATAACCATACATAATAACATGTACCGGAGATCAAATAACAATTACCAATGTCATATATTTCCCAGTACAAATGCTGTAGCTGCTTATCTTGTTGGCAGTAGCAGGCCAACTATTCCTGTCCCAAGGGCATAAACTACCTGTTGAGGCCTGCTAGCAGTCGGATCCTTATTGTATGGAATGCTATTGAACACTCATTCAGGTTTACCATGCAGTGGTGGCCCATGGCTACACTCTTAGACATGGGCTGAGACAGATAAACACTACAGGAAGGTTAATTGCTGTAGGCACGGTAGAGGCATTTGTTCAACATTTTGAGATGCAGACGATGAGTGTATTTATGTTCAGAGGGTCTTTTTACGCCCCAGATGACACTTAAGCTTGTAAGAACACACAAAAAGCCCAGCTTTCAGTTTTACACAGAATATTCTCTAAGTTTCTTTTTGATTAGGCTTTAACATGGTAATTGTTAATTTTAATGACACACATTAAAGAATTCAGTTATGTTTATACATAGTGTAGTTCCTTCATCCAGTCTTTACACTTTTATAGATTTTGTTCTCATGCAAAAGAAAATGCATAGTACAGAAAAGTGGTTAAAACAATACAAAAAATATATAGATGGATGGAAATTATATTGTTTCTTTTTCAGGTGACTGTTTTGTTTTAAAAAAAAAGCTTGTCATGTTCTAACGGAGTATCCCCTCTTCTCTCCCCACCCTCCTCCTCTCCCTATTCCTCCTCCTCGTCTCTCCAACGCCACAGCTTTGGTTAGTACACATGCATGAAATCATAAAAGCTACATTTCTTAAAGATAGCTTTACCTTTCTCCTTACCTTTTTTTCCCCCTTCCAAACGCTGTGAAATATCCAATGAAGGGAGACCTCTTGGTTGCTCTCGACCATTTGAACAATCTCAATGATGGCAGAGCAGTTCATTTAGGAATCTCTGCAGCCGCACCAAGTTATTTCTTGCAGTTTTCTCCCTTCCTGTTCCATGAATAGGTGAGGGTCCTATTGGCTAAAGTTTGTGTCAGTGAAAGCTAAAACCACATCTCTGAGGCACCCATGGGGCCTGGTACAAAGGATCCTTTCTGAGGACAGCAGAGAGGGGCAGAGGGAGGTTTGCACGTAACAGCTGGCTTTGGGTCAGTTTAGAGTCTTCTTTACCTCCTTGATTTAGGAAAGGATTTATGAAAGCTGATCTCAGACCAGTTATGAAAGGCCGATAAAACGGAAGAAAAGAAAATGAATGAATTGTTATCAGTCAGTATAAGGCTAAGGCCCCTCTACAGGAAAGACAGTGACCAAATAGAACCTGATGAGCGTTTGATTTAATGATTCTGCTCATAATTGAGATTGCCTGAAATTAAACACCTGTCAGCATGGTGTTTGCTGCATTCTAGTGTTTTTAAAAGGTGCAGTACACACTTTGTGGTTCTGGTAACATTTCAGAACTTCAGTTGTTCCATGGACTAACATGCTCTTCCTGCTAAGAGGTTGTTGAGTCTGGTTTGGTACGCTTCCATCGTGTTGCTTCTTTTAACATCTCGGTGGTCATATTGATCATTTATATCCCATGCATATCGCTCTGCTGTGTTATTATTTGAATTCTTGTATCTGCATGAGCATGTTTTACCGTGTGACAAGATTACATTATATTTTGCATGCTTGGCTGTTTTTCTATACAATGGCCACTCATCATCACGCTTATGTTGGTTGTAGCCTACATGTTAAATGAGCCTGAAAAGACTGAGTAAATAAATCTTACATTTATTTATCTTCTTTTCTATTTAGGGAAGAGTCAAGGTGAGCACATAATGTTGTTCTTATGTGTCATTTAGCACCTGCAGTGTGTCACATCAGACACAAAAAGCGTAGTTTAGATTGGAAAAGAGGGCATCTTTATGATGACTAGTCTAATCACTGAAATGTGTTTTAACATGCTTGTCCTCTCACTCTAAGGTCAAGTTTGTTTACATGCACATTTGATTGATATTAACATGGTTACCAGATGGTTTGAATATAATTCCAATATGGTTTTTAATCTCCTTTTAGCGTAGTTTAGATTAGTTTAGTCGCAGTGGCATGCTTTGTTAGAGGAATAGTTTGGAGCTGGCATGTTGCTAAAGCAGACATCTGCTCCGTGTTTTGGTCTGACTGAGTGATTTTTCTGCTGCAGGGTCCCCGAGGAGACAAAGGACCTCGAGGTGACAGGGTAAGCTCATGTGAAACTGTGCTGCGTGTAAATCAAACAGCTGTCACCAGATATGTAATTTAAGCATTTAGTGTGGTATATTTTTGATGTATCTGTGGCACTGTGTTTGTTGACGTCATTTGACCCTCTAACCTCAGTAGGCCACACCCCTTTATTTACATCACCCAATCCCCCATAGGCCCAGTGTTTATGAATATGATAGTTACTATTTTATTTTATTGCCAATTAAATTTTTTTTAATGTAGTACTTTCCCCCCACTGTTGCTGAAATTAGCTCGTCATATCTTATAATGACACAGTTTGTTACAACAGTGGTTAAGCTTTATCTGTGTATGAATGTTTCTGTTTATTTGTCTAATATCAGCAGCTGTTTATTCAGTAACTGTTTACTCACTATAGCATTTGCGTCTTACAGGGTCCTCAGGGCCCAAATGGAAGAGATGGCAAACCCGGACTCACTGGCCCTCCTGGCCCCCCTGGTCCCCCTGGACTTGGAGGAGTAAGTCCATTGTTTATACTTGCAAAATAAGCTGCGTGGCGTCTTATTGTTTATCTCAAAAGTAGTCCATAATTCAAAACTACCTGTTGTTTGACTTCCAGTATTTCTCATGATGCAAAAATGTTTGATGGATGAATTTGACCCACATTCAGCTCATTCACGGTTGCTGGCTGTGATTCTGTGCAGCGCTAGGCTCACAGTTCATTATGAACTCTGTTTTCGTTGATCTCACCAAACCAAATTCCAGTCAACTATGCTGAAATGGCCATAAAGAATTGAATCTTATGAAGGATGTCTGTGAACTTTGACCTTTTGCCCTTTACCTGTATGATACCATGTTCAATAGATTACACATGGATGATACACAACTGGGCTACTGTTAGTGACAGCTTCAAGTTAAGTTTTCAAACCTGAAAATGACGATACTTACTTGCTTTGAATGGTCATTTTAAAGGTGCTCAAAAGCACCGATTTATGTTGTTACTTAAATATTTTTTCATGGCGGACTGCTCTGTCATGCCAATAACATCAGGTTTGGACTACTGAATCAGTGATTTATCTTAACTGGATCCATGCTCTGTTTGTTCAATAGTCCTGATTTATTATTAGAAGTTTGTCATTAACTAAATGACAAAATTATCTATGTGTGTTTTTTTTCAGAACTTTGCTGCTCAGTATGATGGTGTAAAAGCCCCTGATCCCGGCCCTGGACCCATGGTGAGGGCCTTGCTCTTGAACATGATGATCTATGATACTTATATCTCACACCTTGACAAAGTTCACTAGCGTAGATTTCCTCAGTGTTGATGAATGATATGACTAATTCATTTATTTCTCCATTTCAGGGTATGATGGGTGCTAGAGGCCCCCCCGGACCTTCTGGGCCCCCTGTAAGTTCACACAAGCCACTGCAAACATGACCAATTATTCATACTACCCATAACCTGAGAATGCAGTGTGCTATTGTTATGTTGTCTAAGACTAATTGCTATGCCTTTTATCACTCAACAGGGACCTCAGGGACACACCGGACACCCTGGTGAGCCCGGAGAGCCTGGACAGACTGTAAGATTTTCCTCTAGAATATTTACAATTCAAATTATCAAGTGAAGATATAACTGCTGATAATAGAACTGGATCATTTCTTTATTGGACTTACCCATGTGATGACATCATCTTAAAAGCATTTGTCATGTTTGAGATCTTAAATGTTCTGGGTTTCTTTCCCAAGGGCCCCGTTGGTGCTCGTGGCCCCCCTGGACCCGCTGGCAAAGCTGGAGAGGACGTACGTATACATTTTGTGTTCCTTCAAGCACTTTTCAAGGGCTAATTTTGTTTACAAGTTTTTCCCCTGTTCTCTTGTAATATATTTGAGTTGCTTTAGTGTTTCCTGCAGCATAAATGTCAAATTGTAACATAATCTTTGCTGACTCAAAGGGTAACAACGGCAGACCTGGCAAGCCCGGAGACAGAGGTGCCCCTGGCCCACAGGTGAGAGATTATTGTCCAAAACAACGAGAATGAAACACAAATAAATACATATACAATACAATACATAAATATGGACCTTGTGTATGACCTTGTTTGATTTGAATTGCAGGGTGCTCGTGGATTCCCCGGAACCCCTGGACTTCCAGGAATGAAGGGACACAGAGTGAGTGCTGATCTTATTCTCTGTTTGACCTGAACTTTGCCTGCATGGTAATCACCAGAATCCCACTGGCTTGCAGCCAAAACCGGGAAAAAAAACTGGCTTTTTGGTTTTGCGTGGTGTCATCCATATAAAGCCATATAGCCAGATGCTAAACTTATGTGAAACCACCTTTGAAGATAGGAAAGCTTTGTTAATGTCTCAACGGAGACTTTGGATGTCTTGCTGTCAACATGTATTCTCAATAGAGGTCAAGCAAGCATATGTCTTGTTACCAATAGTAGGTAATTATAAGCATCTCCAATCATCACTTTCTTTCTGTGTTTCAGGGTTACACTGGTCTGGATGGACGCAAGGGAGAGCCTGGTGCCGCTGGTGCCAAGGTAAAAAGATCACCATTTTCATGACTGCATCAACAAATGTTCCTACTGAGTGCCTAATTTCATGTACTGTCAGAGCCCCGTCTCTCTTAGTCCTGCATTAATGTTGATGTCATGGGTATACAGTTGATTTTAGTCCTCACTTTCTTAAATGTTTCCATTTGACCTAACCTGACGTGACATTGAATCCCTCACTCCAGCTATCTATTAACCTTCTCGTCTCTCCTATAGGGTGAGCCCGGTGCCCACGGAGCTGCTGGAAGTCCTGGACTGGCTGTAAGTTTTTGATTGAGTTCAAGATTCACCATATATGCACAAAACTTTAGTAAACCTTTGTAAAACTCGTGCTTACCTTTTGTTGTCTTTCATTCATTGGCTGCTCTACCGCTCATAGTCCACATTTGCCATCTCAGAGCTGCAGTAAAGACACCTTTCTCATCACTTCTGTCCTCTTTGTGTGTCCCTTTAGGGATCTCGTGGTCTGCCTGGTGAGAGAGGCCGTGCTGGCCCTGCTGGCCCCGCTGGTGCTCGTGGTGCTGATGGCAATGTTGGACCCTCTGGCCCTGCTGTGAGTATTTAAACCCTTTTGTGATAGTGAAATCAGTCCCTTTTGTGAATATTGAACCCAAGACTCAGGATACCTATCTAGTATGTACTTTGTGATTTGGTATCTTAATGTGTAAATAATGATGTTTAATACCCAGTAACAGACAAAGAAGCAATTATGCCACTAAATGTTGATTATATATGTTTAATTGAAGCCATGTTACTCCGTTTTTAAACTTGACCTAAATGTGACCTTAGGTTACACATAACCTGATGTTATGTCTGCTGTTCTTCTACACAGGGTCCCCTTGGTGCTGCTGGTCCCCCAGGTTTCCCCGGTGGCCCCGGCCCCAAGGTAAGTGTGATGTTACTTCCTGTGGTGTTTCACGGTTTTTGACAATATATCCTCAGAGAGAGGTCCATGTTTAGGGTCACAAAAAGGACACAATTCTTATTAACATACAGTATAATCATTTCCTTGTTTAATATCCCCATGGGAATAGTTCATACATGTAGCATCTTCAGTAACTCTAACTATTTATTTTCATGCTGAAAAGGCCGACCATTTCAAGCACTCACATTTAAACCACTAACTGATCACTTAAATACATACCTCCAGTATATTGTTTAACTGACCATTATAATACCATCAGTCTGCAGGTATTAATGAGTTTTGATTTGAAGTCATTA